CAATTGCACGCCCAACCCAGCATGCCATGGTGCCACCGGCTAGTTCTGTGGTGTGGGGCTCTTGCTGTTGCCGCTGGGTCCCCACGGCTCAGCATCCCTACCATGTATCTCCCCTTTTAAGTTGCCTTGTGGCGTCTTGAGTGTGCCCTCTTCTGAGCATGCTTTGTCCGTTTTCTGCTCATGCCATGCTTTCTGCTTCTTTGACCTTGCTGCTAATTCACTGCACTGAGACAAGAAATCAGCAACTTTGTTTGTTGTCCCTGGATTGTACCCAACAGAGAATTTAAAGGGCTTCAGAGTTAGTGCCCAATGCATTATGCACTTGTTATCACACTTAGAGTTATGCAGCCATTGCAAAGGCACATGGTCTGTTATGAGTGTGAATTCCCATCCCATTAAATAGTAACGGAAATATGTGACCACCCATTTAGTAGCCAACATTCCCTCTTGATTGTGGAGTACCTGTGTTCTGCTGTGCTTAATTTCCGACTTGCAAACACTACTGATCTTTCCATCCCGTTGTCTTCTTGGCACAGGACTTCCCCCACAGCCATTTCAGACGTGTCTGTCTGTAAGATAAAAGGCTTAGAAAAGTCAGGGGTCCTCAGGAGCATGCCACTACACAAGGCCCTCTTGATGTTCCTAAAGGCCTCCTCCATTAGGGGCATCCATCTTATCACACCCTGCACTTTACCCCTCATGGAGTCTGTCAAGGGTGCAGCCAACTCTGCAAAGCCTGGTATAAACCTTCAATAATAGGTGGCCAAACCCAGAAAGGAGCACATTGTTAGTTTGTTTGTGAAGGTTTATATTTCTCTATGGTATCTACTCACCAGTGGGCGTTTGAGCCCCTGTCCCACACAGAACCCAAGGTAGTCGGTCTCTCGCAGTCTGCACACTTTTTAGGATTTGTAGTCATATTAAATTGGCACAATTCTTGTAATACTGCTTCCACGTGTTGCCATTTTCAGGCCATGACTGAGAATAAATTACAATGTTGTCAATGTATGCCACTGTGTACCACGTATGTGGAGCTAGGATGTTATCTATCAGCCTTTGAAAGGAGGCTGCCACACTGTGAAAGCTGAATGGCATCCGTGTAAATTCACTTAGTCCTCATGGAGTACCGAAAGCCACTTTTTGCTGGTCTTTTCCTGCCATGGGGATCTGTCAGTAGCCCTTGGAAAGGTCCAGGGTACTTTGCCTGACCTATCCGTTCCAGTAGTTCTTCTATGTGGGGCATAGGGAAGGCATATAAATGCACCACCGCATTGAGTCCCCTGAAATCCATGCAGATCCTTAGCGACCCATTGGATTTCAGGATGACCATCATTGGGCATCTCCAGGGGCTCTGGGATGGTACTGTCACCCCTTGTCTAAGCATTTTCTGCATCTCCTCATCTACCTGTGCTTGTAGGTTGTTGGGAACTGGTCTCCACTTTTCCCTCATGACCACCCTTTTTGGCGTATTTATTTAGTGTACCATGCCCCTAGCCTTTCCTTGTATCTCACTGAATACATCCAAATTTGATGATTATCCATCCCAGTTCCTTTTGCTGCTCATCTGTGAGGCTGCTTCCTATCTCTGTCTTGCCCCTTAGTGTGTATCCTCCTATCTCAGGGCCTAGATCTTCACTTATCTGTTCAGGGCTCAGCAGCCATCCCTCTGACTCCCTCCAAGCCTTTAATTGGTTTTACATGGTTGGTCTGGTGTTCCCTTATGTGTCCTGGATGGTGTACTTCATAATCTATGGGTCCGGCCCTCCTTGTCATCTCAAAAGGCCCTTGCCACTTAGTTAATAGTTTATTTACAGAAGAGGGAAGTAGAACCAACACTTTATCCCCAGACTGAAACTCTCTCTCTCATGCCCTCTGATAGTAACTGGCTTTCTGCCATTGCTGTGCTCTCTCCATATTTGCCTAAGCTAGTTGCCAGGCCTGCTTAAGGCATTCCATCATCTCTTGCCTATATTGTTGGACCCCAACTCATTTGTGCCCCAGCTTTTCCCACTCTTCCCTGGCTACTTGCAGTAAACTTCTGGACGTGTGGCCAAATATCAATTTGAAGGGTGCAAACTGGGTTGACTCCTGGGCCGTGTCCCTGAGAGCAAATATTAGTGGTACTAAGAGCAGGTCCCATTTTCTGGGCTCTTTCTGCATGCTCCATTGCAATAAGCGTTTAATCATGCCATTTAGGTGCTCAACCAAGCCATTTGTTTGGGGCGGTAAACCGATGTTTGCAGATACTTAATGCCCAGCACATGACATACAGCCTTTAACACCTCTACATAAAGTTCGTACCCTGGTCTGTAATAATTCCCCTAGGTATGCCAAAATGGGGAAATCCATTTTAACAACTGTTCCGTGATCCGAGATGCGGTGGCGGTTTTGAGTGGGATTGCCTCTGAGTATTATGTGGCATAATTGATTAAGACTAGTACGCACTGGTGCCTTGCCCTACTTTTGGTGAATAGTCCCATAACATCAAGGGCAATTTTATGGCGCTGTGCCATAGTACTTCCCAGAGCCATCCCTTGGAGGTGGGGGAGGGCAAATCGGGGCAGCCTCCCTGGGCCCCGCAATTTGGGGGCCCCATGGACAGTGCTGTACAGGCCCTGCTGGCTGCCGCAGCCTGTACGGCACTGTTCCAAGTGGCCGCCGACTCCCACCCCACTCTGTGATCCGGCTGCTCACCACCCCACCTTCCCCCCACCACACAGGCCCCACACATCCTAATATGCCCTGGACCCCGCACACTCCTAGGGTCGTCTCTGGTACTTCCTTTTGGATGTATTAAAGCATGGCACAGTAATAGCCTGTAGTGCACTGTGCTTGTGGTGCATGGTTAGTTTTCACTGATACTTCGCCGTAGCAGTGCACTAAAACAGTGGAGTGTGCCGCTATGGTGAGGTAGCTGCCGGTCACATGTAGACTCTCATGATCACTACATCACTGTAGCGTGCCATACAGTGATGTAGTGTGTCGCTACAGTGACATAGG